CTGTGGAGACCGACCGATCACCTTGGCAATCTCGGCTTTCTTCAGGCCCAGGTCTCGAAGCCACTGGACCGTCGGCCTCAAATTCTCCTCGATGCTGTACCCTAAAACCGGTGGAAATCGACCGATCACTTTGGCAATCTCGGCTGTCTTCAGGCCCAGGTCTCGAAGCCACTGGACCGTCGGCTTCAAATTCCCCTCGATGCTGCAACCTAAAATCTGTGGAAACCGACCGATCACTTTGGCAATCTCGGCTTTCTTCAGGCCCAGGTCTCGAAGCCACTGGACCGTCGGCTTCAAAGTCTCCTCGATGCTGTACCCTAAAACCGGTGGAAATCGACCGATCACTTTCAGAATCTCCGCCGTCTGCAGTCCCAGATCTCGAAGCCGTTGGACGATGGGTCGGTAATTGCTTTCAACACTATAACGTTGCAGGGCAGGGTGTCTTCCCAGTAGGTTCTCGGACTGCGACACTGTCATATTAAGCTGCTCCCGTAGAAATTCAAAAAGTCGCGATGGGTCGCGGTCACCTCTGGAAACTGCCTTGCGCGTAAACTCGACAGCTGACGTGCATAAGCTGTGTGCAGGAATCGCCAAAAAGTCTTGCAACTTCACTCGCACACTAGTGCTCAGCAAACCGCCCAAGTTTTTGCTCACGACCTGGACGATCTGACGAACCGCCTTTGCAAGTGACTTGGGACGTCCCGGCTGCCACGGATCCACAATAACTTCGCTGGTCTCACATGCAAGCTCCCATCCTCGGTAGGCATGGGATATGCGGAGCACTTGGGATCCTTCCGGTGCTTGCCGCAACAGCGCCTCACTCTTGCGGATGTCGGCGGCGATGCCTTCTGGTGTATGGTGTCGGTAGTACCCGTCATACTCCAAGAATAAGGCCGCATCCTTCTTCTTCAGGGCACCATAGACTGCGAGATCTGGGCTCAAGTGCCTCTTGCCCCAGCTCCCTGGCTGCTTGACAGGAAAGTCTCGGAAGAGCTCCGCAATGGGCTCCTTCAGCGCAGGGTGTTGTTTGGCGAAACCCTTCTAAAAACCCCAACATAACTTGCGCAACCTGCACCTTACGTCAAGGTCCAAAGGAAACCTGCAGCCCACCGTGAAACCTAGCATCCTGCGGCCAACATATCATCCGACGTCTTAATTCCAAGTCCCGAAATGCTTTGCTCCTCCGGCAGCAAAAGCACCGCCAGGTGCGACAGGAGCTCGGCCTCTGCAGCGCTTCCCAGCCGCTTCCGTGGGCGCCCGGCCCTCCACCAGCCCGGAGGACTGCGCACCGCGCAGGAGCTCCAGGAAAGAGTCAGGAAGCCCAGGAAGAGACATCCTAACTGTCTCCATGGCTTCCGATGATGGGGTGAGGGCTTCATGGCGTAGAGGGATTGGAGCCCAGAGCTTCCGTAAGATCGAATCTGTCGGAGAGAGAGAGAGAGAGAGAGAGAAGCTCTGCTTGTAGGAGAATTTAAGGAGACACACTCACCGCTCGTCACTATCAGCTTTTTGCAGGTCAAACCCTGAGGTTGGGCTGAGCTGATATCTGAGGGATCTGAAAGCTCATGGTCAGGATTGTGCGGTCGTGCTGTGAGCTTTTGACACACACTGATTCCAAAAGACGTGAGATTTTAAGCACATCGGATCTTGCGAAATTCTCCTGCCTTCCCACCATTGCGAAATCGCAGCCGTGTATGGGGCGAGGTTTGCCTGGCCCAAAGCTCTGGCAACGTTGGAGATTCAGAATAGCTGGGACTGCAAGAAAGGCAATAAACACGCTAACACAAGTATTCAGCCTGAAGACTCTTCAAGAGGGGGCCCACGTTTAGGAATAGATGGGTCCGTGGGGACCGTGATGTGTACCCCAAAAAAGTGTTAAGACAAACAGCGTCACGAAATCAACCCCAATCTCTACACCCTCAGCACATCTCAATAGGCAGCTCGAATTGCTTCCGAGAGCCTGGTGAGCGCTATTAGCCTGTTTGGGATCACCGTTCACTCCGGTCACATGCTCAAAGTCCCTACTGCCTCGGGCCAAGCTTTGCGCGCCCATCCGCGCCTCAATGTCCTATCGCCTGTCACCAGACATGCTAAAGAGAATTGATCAGACAAAGTTTGCTGAATAGATTAGATATCCTAGTGACAACCAACATCGTCCTAACCTTAGGCAATCATACCCGCCATTACAACCCTAATCTAAATTTCTATCGAACTCATAACCGTACGGACTCAGCTGTAACTAATCGTCATCGCAATCCGATTCGTGAGCCAGAAATTGTGGTAAATAGCCCCCGGCACAGTCAAGGGCAGAACCTCGATGTCCTCCATGACCTGCATGTCATCGTGGCCGGAGCTGTCCTGGACCGGCGTTTTGCGGTTTGGGACCCTTTAGGGATTAGGGTTTCAGGGTGCACGGTGTACAGGGCTTATGTAGTTTATTGGGTTTTATAGGGTTTAGGGTCCAGGAGTTTGGGGATTAGAAGTTGTTCAAAATGGGGCCCAGCTATTAGAGACCTTCAAGATCCTAGCAGCAAACGAAATCTGGAACAAAGCCGCTATAAGCAATCCACATCTACGACACCAACAGAAGGTGGTCTTGGGTTCTTGCAAAAAAAAACACCCAAGCACTTCCATTAGAAGCCTAGGGCCCAGACCCTAAAGCCCTAAAGCCCTTCAATGAACCCTGAGTCCTGAGGACTGTAAACCTAAGACAGAAATCCGCACTTCCCCAACCCGCTCCCACGCCCTCCCCTCCACTCCCTGAACCCGAAACTGCTAGACCCACAACCCTAAACCCTAAACAGCTAGACCCTAAACCATATAAGCCATATAAGCCCAATAAACCCCACACCCTAAAACCCTAAACCCTAGAGGCCCCAAGCCCTAAACCCTAAAGGCCCCAAACCCTAAACCCTAAAGGCCCCAAACCCAGAACCCTAAAGGCCCCAAACCCTAAACCCTGAAGGCCCCAAACCCTGAGCCCTAAAACCTACCGGAAAAAAAAAAAAGAAAACGCATCGCCAAGCCTGGCTCGAGGATCGGGACCTCGCCGGTGAGAGCCCACTGGTCACCGAGCCCTGGGAGCTTCGGATCTACCCGGGCTGACGGGGGGCTTGGGTCGTTTAGGGCTTAGGGTTTAGGGGTTTATAGGGTATAGGGTTTAAGGTATATGTGAAGGTTTAGGGTGTAGGGTTTAGGGTTTAGGGCTTAAGGTCTATATCTGCAGGGTTTAGGGCTTGCAGTACAGGGCTTGGGCAGTTAGGGTTTAAGGCTGGTGGGGGGGCTTTATGTTGTATGAGATAAAGAACTTATCGGGGATCTTCACGGGTTCTGCGATGAGCTTTGGGTGGCTCAGCCACAGCCTTGCAGGGTTTGAGGCTTCGGGCTTGGATGTGTGCATTCTTCTTCAGAAGTTTGCGTAACTTACAGGCAGTTTATTACAAGGTTCACTAATCAAGGATTATACAAAGGTCTCATAAGTAGGGTTCTAGAAGGGTTGTCGAAAGACTTCACAAGGGTTGGGTGAAAGCTATAGGCTTCTTGGGTTCTTGGGACTATAGGCTCAGACTGCAGGATCGAGATACTTGTTGATGATATCAACCCTGCATTACCTTAGGGATCCTAAACTATGGGAATTATGGAAAATTCCTTATTATGGGTAACGCAGGATCTTTACCATCAACCGTAGTGCTTCAGGCCTCGGTCTGAGAAGGTATACTTGGAGGTTCATGGACAGTTATACGTGGCGTCATAAGTTATAAGTAGGGTAACTATACTCATAAACCCATGTTGGGGGACTTATAATTTTACTTATAATTATAACAACCCATATTATAATTAGGGGACTTCTAATCCCACTTATAACCACTCATGAACCTCCAAGTAGTGTTTGTCGGGTCTAAAAAATCCCATGGAATGTCAACGTGGGGGGCTCGGCCCCCGGCTCCGGGACTCTGGGCAAAGGTCCTAAATCCTAAACCCGAAACTGTCCCTAAACCCTAAACACTACTACGTAAACCACCCCCAAAAAGTAGGTAAAATAATGGCTCAACACCTATAAGAGGCTATTATTCTACATACTTTTGGGGTTCAGGTAGAGCCTCTTCATAAGAGTCTACATGCTTGAATGTACCTTGAAACCCTGCAGTCCAAAAACCTTGCCCGGGGGTGCAACCCTGAGGGGACTACGTTTGTGAGACTCCTTGCGATGATTTGCCTGTAAAGTCCTTGAGGTAGGATTCTCTCTGGGTTCGGGTATGTATTTATAGGGTTTAGGGCCGTTTAGGTTTGTTTTGAGGGTTCAGGTAGGTATTTTGTGTTTAGGGTTTAGGGTTCAGGTATGTATATATACCGTTACAGAGAAGAAAGATCCGCCTTCGACGAGCTGGAAGACCAAGAGCTGCCCAGCACCCGCGCAGACACCGCGGAGCGCTTCGCGGACTGGGCGTCTCTGGGTTTGTAGGGTATGGGGTTTAGGATTGAGGGTTTAGGCGTTTAGGGTTTAGGGTTTGGGGTTTAGGGTTTAGGGGTGTAGGGTTTAGGGTTTAAGTTTTAGGGTTTAGGGTTTAGGGTTTAGGGCTTGTAACCTGCCTGAAATACCAAAACCTACCACTTCGTAGGGTCCTTGTACAAATCCTCGTGAATCGGGAGTACAATAAATGATGAGAACCGACAAAGAGTGTGTTAGCGTAGTTCGAGGCGGGAGAGCCTTGTCACTAGGATTTTTCGGTTGAGGTTTAGGGTTTGGGGGGTCTTGGGTACCAGTAAGCTGCTCTGTAGATATCCGGGTCGGCGGCTGTTGAATTCTTGAAGGACAGCCTACGTATGGCTCTACCATCACCACACCTAGGGGGAGAAGAATAATCAGCGAGGTAACCAACACAGGAGCAACATCTTGGGTGTAGGTGACACAGGCATGGACATCCAAGTGCCCGGCGCCAGCGGCAATCTCGCCGAACACCTGCCAAAGCGCGGCGTGTCCAGGGGGTTTAGGGTTTGGGGTTTAGGGTGTCTGGAGCTGTGAGATGGTGTTTGAATGCGATAGAAGCTGGGTTAGCCGTGGCCTCCAGAACTGAATTGATTCGGACACTCTTTTGGATAACAAGCGGCAACAAGCGTTCGCAAAATGCCTCTTGAAATGGCGCCAACGCCACGAAGTGAGTCTCTATGCCCGCCTATGATGCAAGCAGACCGAGAATCGTAAACGGAAACCTCGAAACCACACAGTTTGCAGCCCTAGCCTTGAAGCCCAAGGAAGATGCAGGTTTGCAACGAGCTCTAATACACTGAGGTCAGGACGGCCGTCCCAAAATAAGTGTTAAGCCCATGTGTTTCAGTCTGAACCGACCTATTCTGCTAGACGATGCTGTCGCAGAAAGCCATGTCGGCTGCATTAGCCCAAGTGTTTCAAAACCCAAGCTTTTGCACTTTACATCCTGGTTCCTCTATAACAAAAAGTATCAGCCCCCCCCCCCCTCCCCTCCCTCTCCCAAACCCAAAAAGGAAGGTGGTATACTACATGGGCAGTTCTCTAAATTAGGGTCCCTTTTGCAGTTCAAATTTTAAGGGTGCCGTACTATACTGGGGACCTGAAAAGGGACCCTAATTTAGAGAACCTCCAAGTATGCCCCAAGACCGGATGGCCTGCAGCTGCTCCAGAAGCTTTTCCACTTCTTGCCTGCCCACAACACTCCGAGCTTCTGCATCCGCAGACCAAGCAGAACGAGACGTTGGGTTGCTGTTGCTAAGGAACTTAAATTAAGTTACTTTAATCATATTTAGCTTGTATATGTGATGATAAGTTCGGGCTAAGGTTAGCGGGTCAGAGTCTATAACCTAGCAACAACAGACCTGATGAAACATCCAAGAAAGGGCCACAAAGTACTAAGGCCCCTAAACCCTAAACCCTGAACCATAAACCCTAAAGCAGCCAGTTGTGAGGCATTTTGGTCTGACGGCTGCGCTTTTTCGGGTTTCGGCGTGAAGGTCTTCAGGTTGCTCGGGAACTCTAGAACCCTAGTTTAAAGGAAGCTACAGGTGGGGAGTTTAGGGTAATATAGGGCTTCTACAAGGGTTCTGTAAGGTATATAGACCTTCTATAAGGCTCCTATAACGCTAACTACCCACCTGAAAATGTCCGAGACTGAAGCCGAACCCCACAGCAGGCAATCTCTGTGTGGACTTCGAAGATGCAGCCCCAAACCCTGCATCCTTTAGCCGAGCTGTAGACGAGAAGGGGCCATCCAATCAAAAAAACAACGGAGTTGCTGACAGCAAGACTTTTCAGGGACAAAAACCAGGACCCTATAAACCCTAAACGGCCCTAAACCCTACAGCAAACCCCTAAACGGGGATTCTCAATACTAGACCGGCTACTACACATACTAGAGGATCCCGATGCTGCACCCAACCTACTGAAGATGGTGCCAACACATCGTGTCCGGTATAAAGCCTGATCCTGGGTTCACACACACACACACATATATATATATAACTAAAGTTGTGTATATATACAAATAAACAAATAAATAACTAAATCCATAAATAAATATGTATGTATGTAGCAACAATATAAATGTGTTTATAGATATCCATATATATATATACATATATATATATACATATATATATATAGTACGTATAGACATCTACTTCCGGCCCGTCGCCTGGGCACTGACAGAATACCGACTGGCTTGGCAGCTGAATCTCCGCAGCACATAGAGCTTCTTCCCAACGGAAGCAATGGACGCTTTCGTGTGCCTGTCGGCTTTCAGTATAGATGCAGCACTTGGATGCCACATTTGCTCGCCCGCTCTTCCAGTTCCGACGACTTTGTCTGCGAAATTGGTGAGCAGTCCGGCGCAGCCTTTTTTAGCTGCACGTGAGGCCGACACCGATAAATCCTGATGAAACCGGCCCACTGCAGACTTTCCCACCCACGACCTTCCAAATGTCGGGCGAGCTCTGATCCACAGGGATGGGAGAGAAAGTAGAGTCCTGTGACTGGCCCAAGGGGGCGTGCACACTCGCGGAGTAGGAGGTGCAGAAGTTGTACTGCTGTGCCACTTCCTCAAGCAGCGCGATTTCCGATGGGAGCTTGGCATCGATCAGGTATTTGGGCTTCCTCTTTGGAGCCGTCTGTGGCCTCTGTACAAACTGTTTTGATTCAGTCTTAGGGGATACTATCTATCTTGCTATCACAATCTTGGCCACTCCCAAGCAGCACCTTCTCGCCTGCCCTGACGTTCTGATTAGTCTTATCGTGAGCTTACAGGGGCGGGGTGGTCAAGTTCGAGAACAAAAACCAAGTCACTCTTGGACGCTGATCCCGAATAGAAACGTCTATCAAGAGCCAAGGGCCCTCACAGGTTGCAGCTGCTGTTCACATGAGAGTCAAGCCCTGGCATCATACTACTCATATAGTCTGCAACCCAGTACCCCACTATTCTTGGCAACCCCAAACCTAAGCCCTACACCGTAAGCCACAAACCCTAAACAACCCATAAACCCTACATCCTAAAACCAAACCCACTCTACAAGTGACTGGAGCCCTCGAGATTTATGCGATGAGTTTGATACTAGGCCGGAAGACCCCTAGCCCAGGCGCCTGAGGATGAACCCATCTGGCTTCAGCCGCCCCAGGGTGACTTGCTGCAGCAAGTAGGCATACTGCTTACCTGAGCCGGTTTAGGGTTTATAGGGTTTAGGGTTTAGGGTTTAGGATTTAGGGTTAGGGTTTAGGGTTTAGGGTTTAGGGCTGAACCCTCGAACTCGGTACCAAAACCCAAGACTCTGAGCCTTGAGCTCTGTACCCGAAACTCTACACCCTGAACCCCTAACCTCCTTTATTATAACCATAAGCTCACTTGCCCAACCAGGACACTAAAGCCGGAAACACGTCAGGTCAAACAGATGTGAATGGGGGAATAGTATCTGCAAATCCCGACACCAAACCACTGGTCTGTATCCAGAAACCCCACTACTAAACAGAAAACCGACCCGCCGAATAAACACAGTTTGTTTGTTGGGGGGGGGGGGGGGG